GTATGTGAATATATGTATATAAAATAAACCACATGACTATGAATTAAGTGAAATTAAGTGGTGAGAATGATATGACAGAAAGCTACCAATGAATATATTATGAGAAGATATAAGAACAATTATAAGCTATGTGATATGTGAGTTTATGAAAATGTTCTACGTGCAAGTGATCTACGTGTATGTGTGATTTATATGGAAATGAACTACTTGACTACGTGTGATCTTATAAAAATGTAATAATGAGACTATGTGTATATGTGAATGTGTGATAACATAAATATTAATGCCTGTGTTATGTGTTATGAGAGCTAGAGGTATAGTTGGCATGCCAAGAGTCAAGGATCTACGCAGTCCTTCGGGATATATATGTATTCTTTGGAACATGTATGAGGTCTTTTGAGACATATTTGGTCCTTAGCATATGTATATGATTCTTAAGGAATTTTCTACGTGGTCCTTAGGGACATTTTATAGGGCACTTCGGTGCAATTCTACGTGGCACTTCGGTGCAATTCTACGTGGCACTTCGGTGCATTTATACGAGCTGTGGTGACAACATTAGTGCACAACCTCTAGAGACTCACATATCAATAGTTATCACATATGTACATGGGCTAATCAAGAAATGATAACAAATATATATTGTGATATGATAAATTTTATAGCAAGGACATGATGAGGTATAGGTATAATATATGATTAAGAAGGTTATGTATATGTGCTATGTGATTAAATGATAAGTAACTAATGATGATTTATATGCATGCATGTAATTCTTATTAGATAATATGATATGATTTATATGATGATGTATGTATTGCTTGGTTAATTGAATAATATGTTGAGTAAGAAAAAAATATATAAGAGGATATAATTATAAGATATAAATGATAAGAACATTGATAGTGGAATAAAGTTAGAGATTAAAATAATGTGTGAGATGTATATGCGTATAGTATATTATATATAATGTTATATTGTTTTGATGTGCCATTATAAGATGATATGTTCATACATGTTTAAGCATTTAGAGTTTCCTTTATAAGTTTAATGCCTCACTAAGTCATAGACTTAGCTTGTGATTGTTTCACACGTAGGTTACAGAAGCAAGAAGAGAAGCGAAGAAGAGCAAGACAGGTCAGCATCTCCCTTACAAAATTTCAGATCATAAAATAGACGATTTAAATGTGTTTGGTTATTTTGAATATAGTTGGCATGTACTAATTGATTGAGTTAAATATACTATGATCGATTTTGGTTATTGTGGTCAATTTATGTAAATAAACCGCTTTTACTTTAATGAAAATTTTAAATTTTCTTTGAATTTTGTCAAGAGTCAAAGTTTGAAAAGTCAATGTGACATCTCAGACTTGTATTCGGGTCGGGTACGGGTCTGAGGGTGTTACAGGAGAAGAAGAAGAAGAAGAAGAAGAAGAAGAAGGAGAATGAGAAGAAGAAAGAGAAGAAGAAAGAGAAGAAGAAGGAGAAGAATAAGAAGGAGAGGAAGGAGGAGAAGGAGAAGAATGAGAAGAAGAAGAATAATAAGAATAAGAAAAGTAGAAGTAGAAGAAGAAGTAGAAGGAGAAGGAGAAGAAGAAGAAGAAGAAGAAGAAGAAGAAGAAGAAGAAGAAGAAGAAGAAGAAGAGAAGAAGAAGAAGAAGAAGAAGGAGGAGGAGGAGGAGGAGGAGGAGAAGTAGAAGGAGAATGAGGAGAAGTAGGAGGAGAAGGAGGAGAAGAAGGAGGAGGAGAAGAAGAATAATAAGAATAAGAAGCAGAAGCAGAAGAATGAGAAGAAGAAAAAGAAGCAGAAGAAAAAGAAGAATGAGGAGAATAAGTAGAAGAAGAAAAAAAGAAGGAGAAGGAGAAGGAGAAAGAGAATGAGAAAGAGAATGAGAAGAAGAATGAGAAGGAGGAGAAGAATGAGAAGGAGAAGGAGAATGAGAAGAAGAAGAAGAAGGAGAAGAAGGAGAAGGAGAATGAGAAGAAGGAGGAGAATGAGAAAAACAAGGAGAATTAGAAGGATAAAAATGAGAAGAAGAAAGAGAAAAATAAGAAGAAGAAGAAGAAGAACGAGAATGAGAAGAAGAACGAGAAGAATAAGATGAGAAGGAGGAGGAGGAGAAGAAAGAGAAAACAAGAAGAAGAACAAGAACAAGAACAAGAACAATAAGAAAAAGAAGAAGAAGAACAAGAAGAAAGAAGGAGAAGAGAATGAGAAAGGAGAATGAGAAGAGAAGGAGAATGAGAAGGAAAGGGAAGGAAAATGAAGTGAGAAGATAGGAGGAGGAGATAAGGAGAAGAAGGCGAATGAGAAGAGAAGAAGGAAGGAGGAAGAAGGAAATGAAAGAAGGAAGAGAAGAGAATGAGAAGAAGAAGAAGAATAAAAATGAGAAAGAGAATGAGAAGAAAATACAAAGAAAAGAAAAAAGAGAAAAGAGAAGAAGAAGAAAAAGAAGAAGAAGAAGAAGAAGGAGAATGAAATAAGAATAGAGAAAAAAAAGAAAGAAGAAAGAAGAAGAATAAGAAAGAAATAAGAAATCACGAATAAGGAAAGTTAGGGAGGAGGAGGAGAGAGAAATGAGAAGAAGAAGAAGAAGTGTGCATGTGAATAACATATTTTAGCATCAACGATGTGAAAGAGATGGGATAAACAGTTCAACGAGATAGGGGTATGTTATGATCATTACTGATTTTTTTTTTTGCGGGAGGGGAAAGGGACGACTAAGAGAACAGAAATTCCAATTTTTAGTAAATTAGAAAATTTATATAATTAAAATTTTAATTTTTAAATAAAATTAGATCAAATGTCATTCAATAATTGAGTGAAGATTTTTTTAACAAACATTAAAAGTTTACCTTAAATAATAACAAAATACAACATCAGACATATATATATATATATATTTTTTAAAAACTTATTTTTTAATGAATAAAAAAGATATCTTTTTATTTTACTGCGTTGAGTTTTTGGGATGATCCCTTCATTATCTCTAATTCCCTCTATCATAAGTTTTATACATTTATACGGTGCGTTTGGTTTTGTAAGTATAAGATTATTTCTCACACAGTATGATTACTATAATGTAGTATTATCTGACACATTATCGATAATATTATATTTATCTTGTTTAATTTATTTAGTATAATTTAAGATGACAATGTTTGGTTGAAATAATATAAGATTACATAAAATTAAATTTTATTAATTTTCTTTCATGATATTTGTACGAAAATTCATATAATTATTTATGGAAAACAGTCTAAATTTGATAGAAATTTTATATTTAAATATTATTAATACAATCAGTGTATTATACAAAATTTAAAAATTTATATAAATAAATATCTTATATCTACTTTTATCATAGTATATAATAAGACTAAATTAATTTTTCAGTGATTAAAAATAAGTACTTAATTTATTTTAGAAATAGTTTAGAGTTGAAAATTCACTCTTGGACGAATTCAAGGTTTTCCAACAGATTTTCAACTCCTAAAAAATCAAAAGTAAGATGGTTTATGAAATTCGAGTTTTTAATATGTTTATTACAAATTAAATTTGCATGAATTTGAGAAATTTATGACAATTTCGTTATTCTAAGCTTAGGATTCAAACTCTTGTATAAAAAGTAAAGCTTAAGGTTGAACTAAGTTTACATTATCCCAATCAAATTTACAATATGAACTAGATATTTAGATAAAATGTTTAGAAAATAATATTAGAGACATTATGAACGTATTGTTAATAAAAATATATTGAATATTAAAGTTTTATTTAAATGTGAAATTAATATGAAATTAAAGCATTTAATAAATATACATCTTGAATAATTATCTGCCGAGTTAAAAAAATATGTAACAATTAAATTAATACGAAGAAATCTCATTTTTATCTAAATTAAAATTGAAAAATATCTAAAAAATTACGTGAGAATAATATTTTAATTTTTTTAAAAAATACTATTATTGATAATATTTTTCATCCTAATAAGAATGAGAAGAAAGAAAATATAAAAATAAAATCCTAGAAAAAATATTATCTCTAAAACTATTTTCTTTTCGCGAACTAAGCCCATTCTCTCCAGCGACTATAATTTTAATTTAAAACAATTATTTTTCTCCACCGAATTATTTGAAAATTTGAGCCCATTTTCTTCTCGTGCACACATTGTACTAATATCTTCCATTAGCGCATATTAGCATTCCAAGGAAGAATAAAACAAAACGACGCAGCTTTTGAAAATATTCTTGGCTAAGTCTCAACAGAGAAGAAGTAAATTGGAACAAGAAGTGAGACAAATGTGGCTTATTTCCATTCCCATATTGCTTTTGGGCCAGTTGGAATGACACTCCTGCCAAGTAATCTTTCTAAATTATCTTTTTCAAAGTAATCTTTCTACATTTTCAATCCAAGGTAAAAATAAATAAATAAATAAATAAATAAATAAACCATTAATTGCGAAAAATAAATGCATTGTTTCACTAAATTAAAATAATTTAGATAATTATAAAAATAACACAACACAAATCACTTACAAATCGAACTAATTTTTACAAAGTAAAAAAATAGACAACTTTAATATAATCGAATTTAACCAAAAATAAATGTAAACAAAATTCATAAAGTTTAAAAAAGATTAGGTAAAACTTTTCTCTATTCCTTTTAATTCATAAAAAATCCATCCCTATTTGTTTAGGCTACAGAGGAGCATCAAATCAAGGCAAAATAAGTCTATAGAAAACAAGGCTAACAAATTTGTATAATAATTACATAATTATATAAATTAAGTGTGTTCAAATAGTTAATTTGGTTATCGATCAAACTTAATTAGTCAATCGAATTAATAATAAAATCTTTAATCTGTAATCAAACCGAGAAGTGAAACGCCTAACGCCTTGGCGGACGAGATCCAGAGCAGAAATCCCACACAGGCAATACACAGCGCCTCGAGCTCTGGAACTAGTTTAAATAATTGCAACTCCATTTCTGCAAATCACGCAGCTACCCAGTGACCATAAAACGAACTATTCTTTCACCTTTTACTAAAGAATGCCGTGTGCTCGCTGTAGAAAGTGACATACACCTATTTTTGGAGGGCTTTTTCTTGGGAAAGGGCCCTAAAATTGTAGTTAAATGAACATTTGTTTATAGCAAGTTCTCTTATGCAGTGGTTCTTCTGGAGTATTTGTTTATTCAATCGAACATTCGGTTATCGATCGAACTTGCTGTTAAACGAAACTGACGCGGTTGCAGTGTTGGAAGAGAATGACTTTCTCCATGAAAGTGCTTATTAATTTCTCCAATAGAAGTGTATACAGTTTGAGGATAAAGAAAATTGCATAACGTTACCTGAAGTAACTTGAACTCTCAAAAAACACATAGTAAACAGAGGATTTTACTAACATATACATCATCACTCTCTCTTAGCATTATCATACAAAACTTTGTGCATAAAACCCATAACTAATCTAACCCTGATGAGAGTGTAAAGACTACATATCTTGTGAAAACAATTAAAGCCAAGTATGACCTATGGGTGACTTTCTTAGAGCACTGCGCTCAACATCTCATTCCAAATATCTGGCACACCAGGGAGGCACCAATGACTACAGTCAGGATGAGAACTCAGTCGGGTGCCGTCTCTGTGCTTGGTTCAATCCCCTTCTACAAACTGAAGGATGCCCGTCTCCTCGAAAAGGCGGCATCTTCGTAACGTCATGTAGATACACTGGAAGTCTCATTCTTCTTAATACCCCTTTCAGCACTACAACTTGGTCAGGGAACATGAGGGCGGCTGAAAATTGAAGGGGAGCTTTCTGGTTATAGCATTTCCAACCATTTTGTCTACAGTGAACAAAACAAGGGAAAGAGAAGAAAAAAATAACTTTGTTTAAGATACCATGGTGTTGATTAACAGATTGGTGTTAGAAAATTGTTATTGAATTTATTAACCAAATTGGTTATCTCTTCACGTGATTATGATGTAAGGACTGAGGAGGGCTATATAAATAAGGCTAGGCTTCTTGTAATCGGTGCATTTTTCTAGATATACTCTTTCATGCTAAAGCCTTCTGTTATAACCTTAGTAAATCTCTAAAGCTAACACATGGATAATAAAAAGCTTAAAGTTAGTTGAATTTATGCTTTGTTTGATACTTGTTATGCCTAGGCGACATGGTTCTGAAAATAACTCTGGTTTCGTTTAAAAAGCAAGTGTAGCTTTTTGGAGGTTGGTTCTTTGGCCTCGAACAAAGCATAGCTTATCTATTTCTCTTCCTTTTGTGGTTTGGGATTGATTGGTTTAGAATCGGGCAATACATATTGGAGCAGTGGGAGTCGAAGCAATGGTGAGAGGGAATGTCCAACGGACAACAACCTAATTTAAGGTTAAGAAACAAAGGGAAAACACAATCGAAAATGTACATAATTTCGGTTGGACAGCATAAAATGTTAATTTTTTCTTAATATTTTTTGGTTGCACACCTTCTTCATAATATTTTTCGGTTGACAACAGAAATATTACATTTTTTATAACAATAAAAATTGACATTTAGGTTGCACTCAATAAAAAATGTTAAGTTTTTTTATAACATTCTCAATTGTGCTCATTCTCTGTTGTTTCTTAGTCTTAAATTAGGTTGTCGTACATCAGAACATCTCAGTAAAAGGTTGAATATAGGGATGGTCATAGTTCGGGATGCGGTTAACCCTATCAGACTCGAAAATTATATACCCTCAACCCGACCTGACCCGAAATAATATATTTATCCAAAATAGCAATAATAGTTGTTAGGAATGAGTTTGGAATATGGTGTTTTGGATTTATGCATTTTATTGGGATTTGTTCGATCTAGGATGCTGAACTATGGGGAGCTTATCATGGCCTTGTTTAAGCTTGGGGGAGAGGCTTCCGTCGTATTATTTTTTAACTTGATAGTACTATAGAAGCAGGACGAGTATTGAGAAAGGATTATAAAGGTATCCACTTCCTTAATGGCACTTACATGAACTATGCAATCGCAGTTTGAGAGATTGTCAACACATACCCCGTTAGGGTGACATGGTGACCGATGCTTTAGCTAAACATGTTCCAGATGATAACTTGAAAGTTGCTTTCCTACCTGAATCGCCTGTATGGATTTTTTCGATTTATTTGGCTGATAGCAATACTAGGAATCGTCTTATTAGTGATGGAACAAACTGTAATCCTTAATGTTAGATCATGTACTCTTTTCCTCCATATAGGTTAGAGAGATTTTTAATGAGATGCAATTTAATGTCCCTTGTATGATCTCTTTCAATCATACAACTTCACAAAATAATAATAATAATAACAATAGTCATAAATGATTATATTTTCAAGAGTTATGAACATCTATATTTTCATGATAATAATTCATAAATTTATTATGATTTCATAAACTTTTTTCCCATAAAATTACATCATGAGATCACTAATTGATAAGTTTTAAAAATAAAATATGGTTTAATTCTGAAAAAAGAACTGATTGAAAAAAATATGATTTAATTCTAAAAATAAATATATATTTTTTAAAAAAAACTACGTGCACACGCATATATACATATGAGGCATGATTTACTTACACAATATGAAATTCTTTTAGTTTTACATAGATTTAGGATCGTTGGATGAGTAAAAATAGATGACCCAAATTAACAGTAAGATATGTGAAGATATTCACTTGGAAAAAAAAGCAAGGAGTCAATCTGTTCCATCTATTTTCACTCATGTAACGGTCCTAAATATGTGTAAAACTAAAAAGTTTTACATTATATAAATTGATCCTAATCATATATATATAATTCAAATAATTTCTGATAATAACTAAATGTCATTTTCATATTGATTTAAAGATGAAAAGCAGAAAAGTGATGAGGGTTGGCTAAGATAACAATATAAATGCAAATTATATGGCCTTATTATTTTTGCGTCGTTCATTTTTCTTTTGGTATAATGATAAACTCACCCCTCAGTACTTATATATTTTTTTGAACTTTCGCTAAATTTAAACATTAATATTTTAAAGAAATTCAAATCACGTTTTCAAAATAAAATATTTATTAAAATTATAATTTTTTTACTATTTTGACGTAACAATCCACTTGAACTTCATATCAACACACAGTATTTGTTTTGTATATCACGCTAATAAATAATCTAAAACTAGTATTCAAAAATAAAAAATTTATATTTTATCAGTATTTAATATTGGGGCACCTTGTTGAAATACCCCTCTATATGCACTCTTGGAAGGGAATTTTATACAATGACGTGGATCGAGACATAATAGGAGATTATGAGATGCAAAAGCATTATCGGTGTGAGAGGAGACCGCCATTCAAGATGACTTAAGCTGACATAGTAAAGAGTAGAATTGTTCAAGCTTCATTTCGAAATATAGTAGTTTATGACATGATGGAAGGTTGGGTTAAAGTAAATACTGATGGAGTTGTTGATCATGCGAAATGTTCAAGAAGAATGACTATTTGGTTTTACTGGAAATCTTGAAAATTGTTCGGTGTTAACTGCAGACTTATGGGCGATTCATGATGCTTTAAAACGTATATGGAGGTCTGGATATCACAAAATTATGATTGAGACGGATAGCTTTGAGGCTATGCGGTTGTTAAATAAAGTTTTGAATCATTCATGCAACCTTCTTTGATACTATAAGATTGATGTTGGAATGTACATGGGAAATAAACTTCCGACCGGTTAGGAGAAGTGCGACTTTAGAGGAAAGAGTATATATGAGCTTCTTAACTTTATTAACAACTAATGGATGGAAAGGTATCTGCAACAGTTATTCATCATGAAGTTCCTACCACATCAAAGAAAAATCTAATTTACTGTCGGTGAATAAAGAAACACGTTGAAGTTGTTTTTACTCTATGACATTGGGAAGTGAAGAGTTAAAATGCGAGGTTAAAGACATAGCAAATCAAAGAAAAATCTAATTTACTGTGGGTGAATAAAGAAACACGTCGAAGTTATGATATTGGGCGTAAAAATGTGAGGTTAAAGGCATAATAATCCAACCAGTTTTGAAAGTGAAAGTAGATGAAAAAAATTGTTGTTCAATTCACAACAATCGCATGGGAAAAAGATAACTTATTATTGTCAGAGTGGTGAGTCACCAAGGGGCAGACCCATCCTTAAAAAATACGGACACCTGTGTTATTTTTTAAAATAAAAACTCTAAATTATTTTATAATAAAATAAAATTATAAAATGAGGTTTTAAAAATATATGTTAATTAGAAATAATGTTTTTAATGGTATTTTAGAAAGAAATGATTATAATTCATTTATTATAGATTTTTTTAAAAAAAATAATTACAATTTATTTATTGAGATAATAAAGGAGAAAATTAAAAGATTCTTTTTAAAATTTTATCATGAAAATTAATAAAAAAAATGATAGCAGATTTTTTAGAAAATAATTTTTTATTAACATATTTTTTTTAAGGTGAGAGACTTTTAAAATTTTAGTATCCTGCAATATATTACATTCTACACATATAAAAGGACATGTGTATGTTGATGCTTCAACCTCACACACATCTGCTCAATACGTCATCAAGTTTGTTGAATTTAACCTTAGTGGACCCCATGTCATCCCAATTTTGGGCCTGCCGAGCAGCACGTGCAAAACGTGGCGTCCACATACTTCCCTGGCCACCACAAGACAAGAAATGACAGTTGTAAATGAAAAACACGCAAACCAAATGTCTATCTCTAAACCTTACATCTGCTCAATAAGACATCGAGTTTGTTGAATTTAACGTCAGTGTCTCATTCCAATATTCTTGAACCCCGACATCTCAATTTATATAGGTAATTTTATATTTAAAAACCTAAATAAATAATTATTTAAAAAAATAAAACCTTTAGACATTATTTGAAAGAATAAACTCTTAAGTCGTCCACATCGGACGACTTCGTCGCTTGTAAATTGCGTGTTAAATTCTCGTACACTCCAACACGCAAGATATATCTGACGTAAGTTTACTTTTCAGGTAAGACAATAAAACAATTGAATAAAATGACACCGTGCATTGCAAAATAGCCTTTATGATTCAAAATATCACGAAAT